TGTCTAGCCGAGTTCAGCTACCCAACAGAAGGGCATTTTCATCGACAAGCCAAGGAGCTTACTATGAGCACATAATGTTTATCTAGCTTTTGTAAAGAGGATTATCATGTCTAATTGAGACACATTGCCTAGTATGTAATCTCAAGCCACATTCACGCTCAGCTGAATGACCAACATGTTTGGATACCCTATTTTTTTTTTTCCAAGTAGGAATGGAGTTCTGAGGTTGATAAAACACCAACACTGCCTGTGGTTCACAAGTGGATCTTTTGTGTAATAGTTAGACATTTTCAACCTCCCAGCACATTCTGGGTTCCTGGCTAGAAAAGGGGGAGCATGAGGTGGCTTATGGAGCCCTGGGAATGAAGACTGCTGGAACATTGCCAGGTTAGGAGACACAGTTCTAGTGCTCTTCAATTGCACAGGTGTGCTTTCCTGATGAGATTCAGAACTATACAGGGACTAGAACGCTGTGTGTTTTTTCACTACTGTCTGCCCCACACCCTTGCACTTTGTAGGTAACAAGTAATTGTCCAGTGAATGTGAATTAATTGGAATAGGTGATGCACATTAAAAGCTACTTCCTTAATCTCGTCTTCCAATGCTATTCCTTGGCACTAAGAGATTTCTCTCATATTAAAAATGCTAAATATATCGCATTTTATCTGGACAGTTCTTGAATCATTTACTTTTCATTTATTTTGTAATTATTTTAGAGTATATTTAACCATATTACTAGATTGTCAATTTCTCATCCAGAGGAAATGTTCCCAATTTACCTTTAGTTTTTTCCTACAATGCCTCTGCATGTTCAGCAGTCAGTTGGGTAGCTTGTTAAATGAATGAATTATAAGGAACCTTGTAAAACTTTAGGGGATATTACTGAGCCCTACTTATTAATAGTCAATAAATATTTTATTGAGAAAGCAAGGAATTTTACCTCCATTTGTGTTAAGTCAATCAAACATATAGTTAATAACTATTGCTTTTCTCCCTGGCTGTGGGTCATGTGGAGTTGAGGATACCTTGTTTAAGTAGGATACACTGTAGGTAAACACATCGCTCTGTGAAATCCTGATTTCATTATTCAGAACTTCATTAATTGCATTGCCCTTCTATTAGACAAACATGCTGATTCTCACGGAGTGCCAGCAGGCAAAAGATTATTTTAATTACATGTCAATTTAGTTTTTGACTGATCAGCAAAAAGATTCCATTATTGAAGAATCAAATTAAGCATGTGGTCCAATAGACTTTGAGTCCTTGGCATCTGGCCTATCAGTGATGTAGGTTAAAAAATTTTAGTATTGGCTACCACTCTGGAGAAGACTTTGGCAGAGTCTTATGAGCTTTCACTGATTCCTTGGACAGCCTCATTTAGCATAAAATTATGCATGCCTTCAACCCTAAGAAAATTCATGGTGATCCATGTCTTCCTTGAGTCTTTTCCAAGTGAAACCTTGAAACACCTTACATTTGCAAGTAGGAGCAAGTGGTTTATCTTTCAGTTGTGGTCAAGTGGTGGGGATGGTCAGGACACATGGGTTTGGAATCATTTTTATTATTGTTATGGCAATAAAAATGAGATAAAAGATCTGAACATGAGAAGGAATAGGTTTACCAGAATTCTTTTAAGTAGAACCAAAGCATAGAGAAAGTAGCAAAAGAGAAATGGGGTGAAACCAGAATTATGGTACCTCCTAAAGGCCAAAGATACCGAGGATTTTAGGAAGAGACAGTCAATAGAGTAAAGGATTGCCAAATTAGTCCACTAAGACTTCCATAGTAAAACGCCATAAACTGAATGGTTATAAGCAACAGTCATTTGTTTCTCACAGTTCTAAATGCAGGCAAGTCCAAGATCAAGCCACTGGTGCAGAAAAGGCCTGCATTTTGGTTTCTAAGTGGTCCTTCTTGCTGTGTCCTCCCATGGTGGAAAGAGCAAGGTGGTTCTCTAGTATCGTTTATTATATAGATATATAGATATATAGATGTATATAGATAGAGATATATATTTAGTAGTAAATGTACACCATGCCCTTGTTTTATTTTTATTTATTTTTATGTGCTGTTGAGGATCTAATCCAGTGCCTAACACATACCAGGCAAGCACTTTATCATTGAGCCACGGCCCCAGCTCCTGGTAATCTTTTTTATAAGGACACTGATCCCATTTTTGAGGCCTCTGTCTTCATGGCCTAATAATCTTGCTCCTTCTTGCAAATGTAAGGTGTTTCAAAGTTTTGCTTGAAAAGACTCGGGGAAGGCATGGATCACCATCCAATGCTATCACCTGGGAGGTGAGGGTTTCAACATATAAATTTGGAGGAGACAAACATTCAGACCATACCAGTGACTTAAAGAATGCCAAGGATAAGGACAGAGAAAAGGAGCTGTTTGACTTGTCAAAAGGGGGTCATTGAAGGCCCTAAACTGTGCCACTTCAGCTGGGTGGTGAGGAGCAAGCTGGTTGTCAAAAGGTAATAAAGAAACAAGGGGTGAAAACATGGAAGCTGCGATGACAGCCTACTCTTTCTAGAAACGTGGCCATGTTCTCTGGAAATCGTTTTTCATGTCTGTTACCTTTCCTTTTCCATTCAGATGGTCCTGCTTGAGTCATAAATACTTTTCTTTTTTGTAAGGGACAGGAGATAACGTCCTGTATGTGGAGAATTAGGGCTAAGTTGGCAAGCTCTCCTCTTCCACCATCTTCACATTCCATTTCTTTATTTTGATGGTCCTGGTTGATGATGGGCAGCTCTCTTTGGACACTAGAGCAACTTTATGGTTTCCATATGAAATGAATTATGATCTGAGTCTTTAAGTGAGCCAATTTTTTTAAATACCAAAATGACTATAAATAAGGGTTGGGTAAAAGGTTGTGGAATCCAATTGAAAGAGCCAAGATTTGGGGGATGTGGTGGTGATTTATTTTAGAGCAGAGAGTGTATTGGTGCTGGTATTGACCTTGGTTAGATGGATGGTTTGTTTGTTGATACTCTCATAATACAAGAGGAAATATTATGATGGTGGTTTTGCTCCTGTTGAGCTCCTGGGCCTGTTGCCACACTGATGTAGCTAAGGGGGGCCGCCCAGTGCAGTTTTTATAATAATAACCTGGTGTGATGTTGCTGAGAGAGGGTTGTTCAACCTTTGCCCCTCAGATGCTTTAAGGATGCAGTAGGGGCAAGGCTGCCAACTGGGGGGTCAGGAATCCTGGGGTCTGGTGACCATTCTGTATTATTTGCTTTATAACTCTCATCAAGTCGTCCAAAATTTCTTCATCTTAGTTTTGTTGTTGTTGTTGTTGATAAAAACAAAAATAATACATCCCTTTAAAAATACATCCCTATGTTTATACAGTGGTTGTATGATCAGATACAATATGTTAAAAAACCTTTGAAGGACAAGAGAGATTCCATTCTTCAAGTCACTAAAACTGAAAGTGGAAGATAAGGAGGAGCTAAAGCAGGAATGACATTCCTTGTCCTTTCATTATCCTTTGTCCCCATAGGGGTAGCTGTGAGCCAGTCTTTATGGTGGGCTCATAATTCAGGTGAAATGACTTCCAAATCTGGAAATTGAAATTCTGGGATTTTGTTTGATTTGTATAAAACGCCTTTCATGTGACCTAGCACAGAATCCAGGAAGAAGAAACCAAGGGTTGTAGTACTTAAATAATTTTTCTGCAAAGTAATCACTACCAACAGTTTTCTCAAATTTCAGTCATTTTTAGACCTTAACATTTCACTACTACTTTTTTCCTTTAAAACTCATTATTAGTAAATTTATGTTTCAAAATGTTTTTGGCTTAAAAAATAGGGTGGGATATTTATGGTTGAATATGAGTTTGTTTACATCTCTAGTTTTTTTTAATCACAGAATTGTCAAAATTTTATTGTTTGAAACTTAAAATAGGGCTGGGAATGTGGCTCAAGCTGTAGCATGCTTCCCTGGCATGCGTGTGGCCCGGGTTCGATCCTTAGCACCACATACAAAGATGTTGTGTCCGCCGAAAACTAAAAAATAAATATTAAAATTCTCTCTCTCTCTCTCTCTCTCTCTCTCTCTCTCTCTCTCTCTAAAAAAAAGAAACTTAAAATAGATGACCATTAATAAGCACAAATTGAAAGTACATAGAGAAACATAATCCCAGTTCATGGTGTTTCACATTATCTTTTTTAACTTGAAACATCTCTTCAGAATAATATTGTTTGCTGCAAAGAAATATTTACCTGATTTTCAGCAATTCTTTAAATTTCAATTTTCTTTTACTAATTTCAAGGAAAACTGAAAGAAGTAATTCTATCTTAAAATCAGATATGACACATTATTAAAAATTATTTTTCTCAGTGTAGTTAAATATATGCATAGAAGTGTCTGTGATGTTTGCCAAATGTTAATGGTTATGTCTGGGTGATAGAATTTTAGATTACTTTTTTTCATTCTTCTCCTACTGTTCTTTACTTTTTAACACCAACTAGGTGTTACTTTTAACAAAACCATTAAATTATGTAAAAAGCATTTTATCAGTTTATGCTCCTACTATCATTGTGTGGGAGCACAGACTCTCTTATAATTTCACCATGTTTTTAAAATTTTTAATATTATCACTTGATGGCTGAAAATGATAATTTACTGTTTTAATTTATATGTCCCTAACTATTAGCTTGATTGGATATTTTTGCTGTTTTGATTAACATCCTTCTTTGGTTAACACAATCTTTTTCGACTTTTTCAGTTGTTTGTGGTGCGAGCTGATAGTGTGCTGGTAATTGAAACTAGGGCCTCATTCATACCAGGCAGGGACTCTATCACTAAGCCATATTCCCAGTTGCTTTTCTAAAATTTATCCTTTCAAAATGCCATGTAAATAGAATTGTATAGTATGTAATATGCACATTTTGTGATGTGGAAGAAACTTGAACTTCATGTCACAGCATTGGTTTTCTTTTTCTCCTCTCATATCCAATAACAGTATTCTACCTCCTTACCTTCAGTTTTCCCCTCTGAAGCTATTGGCTTCTAGAAACTCATTCTCATTTGAGTGACTATAGATTTTGAAGTATACTAAGAGCATGGAAGGGCTATGGCCAGCATGGAGCAGGAAAGAAAATGAGCCTTTGTCTCAAGAGATGGGAGCAAAGAACCTCCAGAGCAGCATGGATGAGATCACCATTTCAATACCATCACAATCCTGCTCCAGAGTGTATGTGTGCCCAGAGACACATTCAGAAGTCAACTCCTCCCCAGGGCTCTTCATGACCAACACAACATGGCAAAGTTGGCAGAAACTTGAAGAAAAGATTCATTTGTTTCTTTCTTTCTTTTCTCTCTTTGATAACGAAAGGAATAAAGGGTCCTATAGATCTACCAGTTTTTGTTTTGTTTTCCACCTGTGTTCAAGTGCTTGGTGTCCCTCAGTTCCATGATTGCTACTATGGAATAGTTCGTGCAATGATTCCAGGCCAGGGATGCCCACCTATGTCAAGGCTCTAGTTAGTTTACTTCCTTATGATTGTCATATGCTGAGAAATTGTCATTTTTCCATGTTAGATTTGGAGCTTTTTAAATATAATCAAGCCCAAATCAGTTCATAGGAAATAGTTGCAGAATACAACTCAAATAATGAGTTTATAGGAGAGGATTGGGTAAATGTTAATATTAGGACACTGTTATAAAAGGTATCACCAAATTGTCTCACAAAATTAGGCTGTGCATCAAATATACTTTTTGATAACATTTTTGTTCTCATTTGAAACTTCCTCAATAATACTCCAAAAACATAAGGATTAAAATCAATAATCAATAAATGGGATGGTATCAAAATAATAAGCCTCTTTACTACAAAGGAAACAATCAAGATCATGAAGAGAGGGCCGATAGAATGGGAGAAAATCTCTACCACCTGCACTTTAGATACAGCATTAATCTCCAGGTTATACAAATAACTCAAAAGCCTTAAAACACACCCACACACAAACACATCATCATCATCATCATCATCATCATCATCATCATCATAATGCAATCAACACATGGACAAAGGAACTGAACAGGTACTTCACAGAAGAAGAAATATGAATGGTCAAAAATATATGAAAAAAATATTCAACATCTCTAGCAATTAGAGAAATGCAAATTAAAACTTCACTGAGATTCCATCTCACTCCAGTTAAAATGACAATTATAAAGAACACAAGTAACAAAATAAATATTGGAGAGTATTCAAGGAGAAAGGTACTTTCATACATTGCTGGTAAGCTTGCAAATTGGTGCAACCACTCTTAAAAGCACTGTGGAGATTCCTCAAAAAAAAAAAAGAAACTTCAAATGGATATATAATTTGACCCAGTTATCCCACTCCTCAGTATATACCCAAAGGTCTTAAAATTAGCATACTACAGTGACACAACCACATCAGTGTGCATAGCAGCTCAATTCACAATAGCCAAGCTATGGAAACAACCTAGGTGTTCTTCAACAGATGAATGGATAAAGATGAATGGATAAATGTTAAGTGAAAGAGGCTAGTCCCAGAAAATTGAAGGCTGAATGTTATCTTTGATATACGGATGTTAACCCACAACAAGAGGGGGGGAAGAGATGAAGAATAGAAGTCCATGAATTAGACAAAGGGGAATGAAGGGAAGGGATGGGAGAGAGGGATAGGAATACAGACATAAGTGTCCTAGCCTTGTATTTGAATACATGAGCAATGTAACTCTGTATCATGTACAACAAAAAGAATTGGAATCTAATTAGAATAAGTCGTACTCCATGTATATAAAATATGCTAAAATACAGTCCCTGTCATGTATAACTAAAAAAAAACAAATAAAAAATAAATAAAGATAATGGCACTTCTTGGGAACCACCCGTGCCCCCAACAAAAAAGAAAAAGCAAACACAAACAAGCAAATATAATTCCTCAAAACAAATCAGCAATATAAACAAAAAAGGAAGAAGCTAAGTTATCCATCTTCAGATGGCATGATCTTATACATCAAAATCCCTAAACACTCTGTAAAGAATCTCCCACAAATAGTCAACACACTTAAGAAAGTTGCAGGATACAAATTCAACATACAAAAATCTGTGGCACTTCTACACACTGTTAAGGAACTATGTGAAGAAGAAATGACACACAGAAAAAAATAACATTTACAATGAAATTTTAAAATTCTTAGAAATAACTTTAACAAGGTGAAAGATTCTAATACTAAACCATAAAATAAGTATTGATGAAATAAATCAAAGAAGAAAGAAATAAATGAAAAGATGTTCTGTGTTCATGAATTGAATTATTATTGTTAAAATTTCCATATTACCCAAAGTGATGTACAGATTCAATCACTACCATAACTCCAATATCATTTTTTTTCAGAATAGAAATACAATTGAAAAATGGTTAAGGAACTATTAAAGACCCTAAATATTAGCCAAAGGAATCTTAAGCAAACCAAACATACAAACAAACAAGAAAAAGAAACAAACCTGGAGACATCATACTATCTGAATGGAGAAACTAGAAATAAATCCACACATTCATAGCTAAATGATTATTGACAAACCTGCCAAAAACACACAATGGGGAAATGACTATTTCTTTAGTAGTTTGGGGTAAACTAGAATTATACACATAGAAGAAAGAAAATTGGACTCTTACAACATATACAAAACTTTAGTCAAAATAGATTAAAGGCTCAAATAGAGTACCCCAAACAGCAAAATGGCTAGAAAAAAACCAAGGGTTAAAACTTCTTGAACCACACAATGATTATTTGCATATCACTCCAAAAGCACAAGAAAAGCAAAAATGGACAAATGGGTTTGTATCAAGCTGAAAATCTTCTGTACAGCAGAGTCAAACAAAATGCAACCTACAGAATAGAAGAATATATTTGCAAACCATACACCTAATAAGAGGTTATTATCTGAATTATATAAGTAACTTAGACAACTCAATAGCAAGAAAAATTTTAAAAACCTGATTAAAAATGGACAAAGAACATGAATAAATATTTTTTTCAAAAACAGACATACAAATTGTCAACAGGAATATTACAAAATGCTTAATGTCACTAGTTATTAGAGAAATGCAAATTAAAATAATGATGCAATATCATATCACACCTGTTAGAATGGCTATTATCCAAAAGTCTAAGGAGGGCTGGGAATTATAACCCAGAGGTAGAGCACTTGCCTACCATGCATAGGACCCTGAGTTTAATCTCCAGCACACAAAGATTAAAAATTAAATAATATGTGGTGAGTTTGTGAAGAAGGGGTCTCTAATACACTGTGGATAGGATATTATGGAAAACAAAATGAAGGTTTCTCAAAATTTAAGATAGAACTAAGTACAAAACTATCATATAATCCAGCAATACTACCCTGGGGTACATATCTAAAGGAAATGAAATTAGTATGTCCAAGTTCATTGTAACATTATTCACAATAGACAAGATATGAACTCAGCCAAAGTATCCATTAATGAATGTATGGATAAAGAACATATGAAAAAACACCCATACATGCAGTGGAATACAATACAGTCTAAAATGAAAGAAATCCTGTCACTTGGAACAACATGGATTAGCCTGCAGGACATTATGTTAAATGAAATAAGGCAGCCACAGAAAAACAAATACTATATAATCTCACTTTCTTGTAGAATCTTAAAAGGAATTCATAGAAGCAAAGAGTAGAATGGAACTTTCCAGGGTCTGTGTGGGGAGTGGGGGAGATGTAAGATGAGGGTCAAAGAACACAAAGTGTTGGTTAGGCAGGATGAAAAAGTTCTGGAGATTTATTTATATAGCATGATTACTGCAGTTAATAATAATAATAATAATAATGATAATAATAATAATATATGCTTGAAAATTGCTTAGGGAGTAGATCTCAATTTTTCAGCCTTACTGAGATACAATTGACAACAATTTAATGCATTTACTACATACAACGTCATTTTTTTGATGTACCTATATATTCTGAAACGATTATCCTAAACCTGCTATTTAGCCTATCCAATACCTCCTAGTCGCTATATTATTATTATTTTTGTGTGTATGTGTGTGGTAAGAACTTTTGAGATCTACTTTTCTTAACAAATTTCAAGTATTGCATATAATACAATATTGTTGACTGTAGTCACCATGCTGTGATCCCTAGGATTTATACATATTATAATTGAAAACTAGTATACTTTGACCAACATATGCCCATGTCTCTGTTCCCCCAGCCCCTGATGATATTTTAAAAATTCTAATTCTGAGAGTGGACACTAAATACACTCACCACACACTAAATAATGTTACTATGTGAGGTGATATATATGCTAATTATCTTGATTGTGAGAAGGATTTTACAATGCGTATGTATATCAAAACATCATGCTTGTACAATGTGAAATATACAATCATTTGTTAATTATAACTGAATAAAGAAAAAAACCCCAAGATTCCAAAAAGACACAAAAACTTTAAGCAGCTTATGCTCAGTCCTTTCCCTATTAGTCTTCATTTCTCCCATTCCTACAAATATTTTCTTTTCCCCACAGCTTTGATCTCAAATACATACTAAGAGGAAATAAGTGAATGGAAAGTAACATATGTAGAGCAGGTACTATGCCAGACATTCTCCCTGGTCTATTTTCTCCAATCCCTCAGCAAATTCTGTCCCATCTTCCTTCCCAGTGTCTTCATAATTCAGCCAATTCTCCCCATCTTCCTACCACCACCCTGGGCCAAGCCAGCACCATGTTTCTTTTAGATTACTGCTTTGGCTTCCCTAGGATGCCCTGCTTCCCTTTGTCTTCAGTTTAACCACAGGATGGGAACTAGTGGTTCTTTTACAACAGAAGTCAGGCCACGCCTGCCTGCAATAAAAATCTGAGGAGGCTCCCACCACACAGAGTAAATCACAAACCCCCTATATTGGGCTTAGAGGTCCTGCAAAATCTGCAGCCCTCCTATTTCTCTGACTTTATCCCCCAGAATCACTCCTTTGCCCACTCTGCTCCAGCCAGGTGGTGTCTTCCCTGTTGTGTGAAAAAGGCAAACAGGTATCTACCTCAGAATATTTGCACCTGCTCTTCTCTCTGCCAGAAAGGCTCTTCCATCAAGAACCTTCATGGTCATTTGGAGGTGTTGCTAATTACCTTATATGAAAATGAATGCTTTGTAGCTCTTACCATCAGAGAATTTTGTATGTATTTATTTTCTGTTTCCTCAAACTTGGCCTGCCCACTATTGTTTAATCTAAGAGGGTAGGGATATTGCTTATTCTGCACACTGCTGGGTTCCCAGCTGCTGGAAGAACGTTAGAAACAGAGTTGGTCTCAAACTGGCTATTTAACCTATAAA